GCGCCGTCACGGCGGTTTTATCATTTCACGGCACCGATTGAAATGTTAAAGCGTCAGTGAATGAAACTGCGATACTTAGGTGAACGCTAGTTAGAGGGACCTGAAAGGTGCTCTCGGAGTGTTCCCTCGCGGACTGCGAGCTGAAGGGCTCCTTCCAGCCTGGGTGCAGCATTACATCCTCGCTCACCAAACGGCCAGTTTCAAGTCCCACTGTTACATCCTCTCTGCCCAGTCTGGACACTAGGACCATTCGGCGAAAGTGTATCAGGGGTGAATGCTTCTCCCTGAACACTGGGTGCCTTCTCGATCTGTTTAGACATGAACATTCCAGCAGGATGGCATGGCTGCTGAACACAAGGCAGCCACCCACGCTCCCAGTGCTGGCTCTGTAACCTTGGTGAGGCCACTCAACTTCCTGATCTGAGACATGAGCTTAATAATGTCCATCCACCATTCATTCAACACTTACTTACTGAACACCTATCGTGGGCCAGGCCCTGGGACCGCAGACAGAGCAGGGACCCCTCCTGGTGCTCAGAGCCCAGGGCAACTGTGAGGACTGAGTACAGGAAAGCACTGACACCCAGGCATGGACCAGGTTGAGAGGCGTTGGCTCCAGTGTCCACACTCAGGCCTTGGGCAGATTTGTGAATGACTTGGTGCCCCTCACCTTCTCGTGTGTGTGTGTGTGTGTGTGTGTGAGAGAGAGAGAGAGAGAGAAAGATTGGCCCTGAGCTAACATCTGTCGCCAAAAAGCCAATCTTCCTCTTTTTGCTGGAGGAAGATTGTCCCTAACATCTGTGCCAACCTTCCTCTATTTTATGTGGGATGCTGCTGTAGCATGGCTTGACAAGCAGTGCTAGGTCGGCACCCGGGATCCGAACCTGCAAACCCTAGGCCACCGAAGCAGAGTGCACAAAGTTACCCACTGTGCCACCAGGCTGGCCCCTTCTCTGTCTGTTTAATGCCCCACCTATCGAGATGCTATAAAGATACCTAATAAGAGAGCAGCTTGGAAGTGTGCGCCATTTTACATGCAAGATAGGGTTCGTCAGGAAAACTCTATGGTAACTCAAATGCAGAGAATCTTGTGGGAAAGGACTCGGAGCCCCAGCACAGCTCGTGTGAGGGCAGAATGAACACGCCTGGCCGTCATCACAGAGCGACCTCTGGCCCACGTTCAGTTACTGTTCAAGAGCCAAACTGAATTTGTAAACACAACAAAAAAGCCACTTGAATATTTACTTCCCCCACCGTTAACCTGCAATGGCTGATGAAAACTCATCGCATCCCAGAGTGTTAGTCAACTCTGAATTTTCGTTTTAATTCTCATGTTTCCATATGGATTTAAAGAGACAGGACAGTGTGTGTGTGAGTGCGCATGTGTCTGTGTTCTAAATCAGGGCAACAGATTCCTGTGTGTTCCACCCGGGAACCCACTGGTTGCTTAGCAACATGATGATCTCTGCAACCAGGAGGATCTGGTGAATAACAGCGGTGTGATGGCCCAAGAATTGGTCAAGCTGCTGAGGAGCAGGGCAGCATGGGCCAGCTCAGGGCAGGCCTCCGCTCTGCTTCTCAAACTCTCTGGTTATTCTTTTCCAAGGCGACATTCAGCAGGTGCGTGGGCAGGCCCCAGCACGTGGCCAGGTCTGACGGCCCATGTCATTAGTGCCGGGCCCTGCTCTCATGTGTGCACTTGAAGGGAAGCACAGGCACCTGTGTGGCCTCCCTTCACCCGCAGGGCTGACTTACCCTAAGCTGCCGAAGCCGGGACGGTGCAGGGGCCCCGGGAGGGTATTTGCTGTGGGCTGGTTCTCAGGACTTCAGCAGAGGCTGACATCACTCTGGTGTTGCTGTTTTCTCTTCAACTTTTTCCTGCATATTTTCCTTCTTTATATCCACATTATACCAAGCCGAGGAAGGCAGGGTTGTGAATTTCCCGTTCGCAATGTGAAAGTGATGCCATACTGGTTTTCTGTTCTGGGCAGTCACCCCTCTCCCTGCCTCCTTGGCCGGAAACAGACCAGCACGGACAGATTCTCAGCCAGTGTCTGTCCCACTGCTTTCATGTCACCCATTAAAAGAAGCTGCGTTTTACATTTTAATTAATCTTGCAGTGTTGTCTCAAGCCATTCCATTTTGTCATTTTCATTTGCTCCATGATGGGTGTTAACAGAAGAGGGTCATGCTGAACAGAAGTAAGTGCCCTGCAGAAATGCTCTTCGTCTCTGGTGTGCTGTCTCTCCTTCTCGCTGCCCACCCACATGTGTGCAGAGCCCTCTCTCTGCTTCTGACGACAGACACAGCTGCCTGCAGAGCCTTCCTGAAAAGAACTCCCACCTACCTGGGAACGGTTGGCTACTTCCAAAGGGAGGGTGGCGCTGAGCCCGTCCTGCGGGCCCGAGCTGCCGACTGCTGGATGCTGCCCAAGGGCAAGGCAGTGCTCTGCCTCTGGGAGCCTCACCTGCCTCTGCTCCACAGAGCCAGGGGGCAACAAGCCCACTCCCCAGCTGCAGTGCCGTGGGGGCCCACCCAGGGTCGGGGCCACAGGCACAGTCACCTTTAGAGACGGCACATCGGGACCGTCACTCCAAGGCGTTCTCACCTGAGCAAGTGCGCTGTTGTGGGAGGTTTATCCGCTGTACGAAAAAACCTCTTTCTTCCCCAGAGGTCCCTGGACCTAATTAACAACTCAAAGCCCATCTAGATGGAGTGGCTTTACTCTCAGTGAGGATTTTATTTCCGCCATCTTAGCTTAATTGTTGGATCAAAGTGGAAGGAATGAGCCTTCCCCGAAACAGCAGACAGGAGAGGAGACAGGCCACCTGAGGGGCCCTTCCTGGCTCTCCGCCGGCGTTAGCTCTTGCCCGGCTTGGAACTGGAGTGGTTCTCCTGGTCCCACGTGAGCACCAGCACTTGCAGGCTTCCCCTCGTGTCCCCGCTGTGTCCACAGCCACCTCTCCCGAGACCCCGGGGCTGACCTGAGAGGCTGCTGCTCCCTCTCCTTCCCGTGATCTCCTGACTCTGAGTGACTGCGCCAGCCGCAGTGGAGGAGGCGTCTTCCGTCTTGCCTGGGCTGCCTTACCTGGTGGTGTAACCACAACCACCAACAAGTAACACCCTCCCCCCAGAGGTTCCCAACGGGGACCTCCTGTCTGTGGGAAACCCCACCGTGGGGCACACAGCCCTGCCGGAGACCGCATGTGAACACTCTGCGCGTGGATGGGTGTCCCTGGCCCCATGTGCATCCACCCGCCCTTGGAAGTGCTTCTCCTTATGACCAGGTCAGAGCTTGACCCAGCACAGCTCTCTCTTCAGGTCTGCCGCTGCTTCCTCAGTGGGCTGTCCCATATTGAAGTAACCATGACTGCCATCGAGTGGGGAGCCTCGCAAGGCTTAGAGACCTAGGTACCGATGGTGGTTTTACCCCAGTATCTATCAGAGGCAGAGAACGGACAGCCACAAAAGACAAGACAGAGCAGGGAGCCTGGGCCCCGCCTCCAGCTCCCTGCCCTCAGTTTACAAAGCTCCTGCTCGTCCTCGGCCCTTTCTCACAGATGCTGCAGCCTGTCCATTTTTATTGCTGGTCATGATGTCAGCACCTGAGCAGCTCTTCATGCTCTCCAGAGCGCGTCCACCCCGGCTGTCACAGCACTTAAGAGGGAGTGGAACCCATCTCATATATAAGGACACGGAGACTCACAGGCTGAAAACGTGCCTGTGCTGCCATTTGGCAGAGTCAGGACGTAAAGAGACATCTCAAGTCCAAATCCAGAGGAGGGACCCATGGTAGGACAGAACCTTCCAGAATGTGGTCTGTCCACATTCATGTGAGTTAAGTCCAAAAGGCAAGACACACACACCTGTTCTTGCCACTTCCCTGTGGCTGTGGCTTTCTCAGGGGGGTAGGGTGGACAGGCCTTTGGCTTGGGGACAGCAGAGAAGAGTGTGAACCAGGGCCTAGAGGGGTCGTTCTGCCTCTCTGTGTGTGGCTGAGAGCCTGCCCTGGGCCTTGGCCCAAACCAGCGAGGGTGCCATCTATTACGAGACCATCTCCATGTAGGTGAGCACGAAGCCTAGAGACTTCTCTGGCATTGAGATGTGACCTCCTCCCCTCGGGACTGTCCAGCTGTCTCACTGGGGCCAGTCAAGGTTGACCATCCAGTCCCTGGGGCTTCCCCTGCCCAGCCAGAGCAGGAAGGGCACGGGGCCTCCCACGGCTCCCGAGGCCACCACTGGGAGAGTGGGATTCCTTTCGGATTTCTGCTTTTTGGTAAGGACGGCACGTCCTATTAGCGAACCTCGAAAGAACTGAAAAAATACCTAAGCGCCCCCAGTCCTCCTCCAACAAAGGAGCCCCGTCGGTGCTGGAGAGCGTCGACTGCGAAGCACGCCCTTCTAGAGTGGACCAGGGCACTGAACTCCGGCAGAGTACTCCTGTTCTCTGATGGTGTGGACGGTTTCTTCAAACCCCACATGGCTGTGGGGCTTCCCACTCACCAGAACAGGGCCAGCCTGCAAGGAGCCCTTCCCTGCACTTGCCCTTTTAAGTCCAAAAGCAGGAGGTCTGACAGGCAGTTCAGAGGGAGGGGCTCGCCTCCAGGGAGCTCCCCTAGTGGCTGAAAGGAGGCAGAAATTGTCACTTCCTCCAGCGGTAGCGGTGATGTCACCAGACACGCCCCTCCTGGGAGCCAGACCTCGCTCTGGGCCTGTCTTAGGTCTTAGCCGCCCCTCTCTGCTCACACAGCCGGGCAAACCCACCCGCTCCCCAGCGTGGGGTCAGGTGAGCGGGCTGCCGTGTGCCGTGGTGCCTCCTCAGACCTCTGCCCCTGCTCCTCTCTCCACCTGCCCCCATCCTGGCATGGCAAGTCACTTGCTCACTGCCAGTGCATCTGCCACTAGGCGCTCTGGTGTGGTTTGAGTGTCTCCTCCCCCTTCCTTGCTGACCTGCTTTGTGACCCAGCTTGTGACGGTCTTCTCTGTTGTTGCCGTTTCAGAAGCCCAGAGGTCATGAGCACCATCTCAGGTACACGGAGCACGACGGTCACCTTCACTGTTCGCCCTGGGACCTCCCAGCCCATCACCCTGCAGAGCCGGCCCCCAGACTACGAAAGTAGGACCTCAGGAACAAGACGCGCCCCGAGCCCTGTGGTCTCGCCAACAGAGATGAACAAAGAGACCCTGCCTGCCCCCCTGTGCGCTGCCGCTGCATCTCCTTCTCCCGCTCTCTCGGATGTCTTCAGCCTTCCAGGCCAGCCGCCCTCCGGGGACCTCTTTGGCTTGAACCCAGCGGGACGCAGCAGGTCGCCGTCCCCGTCGATACTGCAACAGCCAATCTCAAATAAGCCTTTCACAACTAAACCTGTCCACCTGTGGACTAAACCAGATGTGGCGGATTGGCTGGAAAGTCTAAACTTGGGTGAACATAAAGAGACCTTCATGGACAATGAGATCGATGGCAGTCACCTACCAAACCTTCAGAAGGAAGACCTAATAGACCTTGGGGTGACTCGAGTCGGGCACCGAATGAACATAGAAAGGGCTTTGAAACAGCTGCTGGACAGATAAGGGCGGCTGCTCTTTCCCTTCACAGACTTTGTTATAAGTAGAGATGGGCTTATACTGAAATGTTTGGATGGCCAAGCAAGGTCTGTGAGCACCAACCCCATTCCACGGGTTTGTCTCCTGGTACCCAAAGAAAGGCGGGGCGTGTCCATGGTGCGGCTGGGTGAAGGCCTGGAAACTCCCCAGCTCTCTTGTGGGTTTCTTAGGCTGTTTCTGTGCAACAGGGGCCGGGGGAGGGAGTTTTTCTAACACAGAAAGAGATTCACAGCTTGCCTCCCAGCATGCAGGTGCCCTCACTTTGCCAGGTCCAAGGGACTCCCCCGTTGGTTTAGCACGGGACCCCTGCTCTTGCAGGCAGACACCAGTGTGCTCTCGATACCTCCTGAGCCCTCCCTCCTCCGCCCTCCGGGCAGCTCTCGCCCCAGCCCCGCACGAGGCCTCTCCTCGGCCCGTGCCTCCCGGAGGGCACCAGTGCTCACTTGCTCCTCTCTTCCCTGTACTCTGCTTACAGCAAGACACCCCCAGACTTGTTTGTCCGGTGCACGTTCTCGGGCCTGAAAGGTAGAGCAGCTTTTTTCCTGCAGCTTCCTCCCCCGTCTCCTGCGATGTGCATCCGTGGCTCTCTGGCCATGAGGTTCTTGGCAGGGATGGGGAGTCTGAACGGGATCGTGCTCGGCTTTGCTTAGCTTTCTTTCTTTATTTCTGCAAATCTATTAGCATAATTCCAAAGTGGCCAAACAGATGTCACATGGAGTTAGTCAAAGCACAAAGTCACGATTCCCAGGAGGCGGGGAGACCTGGCCATGGGAACCAGCCAGTGCGCAGCTGCCTGGGTCCAAAGTCTCCCCAAGGATGAGAGCAGCAGTCTGCCAGGAGTCTCTCCACGACTGTGAGAAGGGGGCTCTCTGCCTTTTGGGATTCTTTAAAACAACGTTGTGCTGAATTCTGCAAAGATCAGAGCAGGGGAGCATGCACTTTGACTTGAGGGACAAGGCCCGAGGGTACTGATGGGCTTGTGCTGCTGCCAGGAGCCTGGGGGGCAGTGACTTCCGTTCTGCGCCCGGCCAAGGGTAAGGTGGCCGCTGAGACGGCCCTCCTGCTCTCTGAGGCCAGGCAGGGGGCGCTTAGGGGCTTGTCCCTTTGTCTCGGAGTGTCCAGGAACCCCACCAGCTTGTCTTAATAGTGCAGCCGGTTTTCTGAGAACCCAGCGGGTATGGCGTACAGACAGGGCCCAGGGTTGAGAACAGAAGGTGGGCTGCAGGGTGAGGGCGCAGAGCAGAGCGATGAAGACAGGAAGGAGCAGGGAGGTGTCCTGAGCGCCGTCTTGCCTCTCTGGCATTTCGTGAGACCTGCCCCGTTCCTGTTCCTAGAGCCCCCGACCCCGGAACAATGCCTCTGGTTTCCAAAGGAGGTCGCCAGTTGCACATGGGCCGCAAAACATCCAGTCAGGCTTCCAGCACATTCTCCCACGTTTGGAAGAAACTCGAATGTCAGGTTTTTGGCTTTTATTATGATTTCAGAACTAGCCTAGCCCATCTCTAATTATAAAAACATGATTTTTTTTTCCTTCTTTTTCTTTATGCTCACAATCAAGTGTCTGATTAGGTCTGAAACAGCTCTAGAATGAACACGTAAAATTTAGCAATTTCAACTCTCTTTCTTTACTGCAAGTTTAAATAGTTGTACAGATAGTTTATAAGCACAATATTTTAAGAAAAAAAAAGTGGCTGGCCTACAAGGCAGCCTTTGTGCCACTTCAGTGCTAGAAAGTTAAAGAAAAAACTTTTGTGATTTAATACTACTATTTCTGTGGAATAATGATAAAAGTCTGACCTTTTTAAATCACCCTTATTTGGATGCATCGGAACCAGCAGAGCTGTGTCATATTTTCTATCTTTGCTAGAACTTCGTCATCGGAGGACAATTATTTCTTCAAATGTGGCTACAATTCACAATGCAGCAGTTTCTCCAAACACACACACGCACCACACACACAGTGTTTCCAGCCACGTGCCCCTGAACTGGAAACCGAGTTTTGGATCTCCTTCTGTTCCAAAACCTCCTGCAGGTCAGTCTTGGTAAGTGAACGATCCAGTCCAACTCGAAGTCAGTTGAGTATTAAGGCGCTTTCCTTCCATGTACTCTCAATTTTTCCATCGTGTGGTGAATGCTATTACTTTAGAGAAATTTCAAGCCAAGATACCACAGGTGGCCTGCTGAGGCTGCCCGAGATTTCAGAAAACGTAACAATGGGGGTTTGGCCATTATTTGTCTTCCATTTGGTGGTAGTGCAAAATTCAGTGCATATGCCCTTCACCGTGGCTCGCTCTTCGTTGCCTGCTGTTGGTTTGACCTTGCTGCTCAGTGCCAGGCAACGTGCTCTAGACAGAATGAGGGTAAAGGAAACCCCTGGTAGGTTGTAACCAATCGCAATTCGGTGGCTTTAGGTTTACTGGACTGGGAGCCAGTGGGAGAGAGCTGGCCGTTACTCCCTTCCTTAAAGAGACTTCCAAGTCACATGCAACTAACCAGAAGCAAGCAGACGTAAGGACTAAAGAGCTGAGGAAACCGTTTATCTTGACCTGTATTACCATAGAGAAGTCATAGACCCGTGAGAACCTGCACTGACAACAAAATACACACACGTTGCCGAGAGGAGTCAGCCTCCGGCTCCATTCGATGATTCTGCTATGGAAAGCAATAGTTCCTCATTCCCATTGCTGCCCACTGTCCTCCCCCCTTGGGACGTGTTAGGACCAGGCCCTGTCCCGTGCCCCTCTTTTAACGGTGGAACAAATGTTAACTGCTCATATGAAGATCATGTTAATACTATTCCAGGTTTTAAGATCAACTTTTGTTATATACTGTAATTTAAATAAATTGCATTTACATGCCTAGTTTCTGTAACATTGTGTATACAAAACCAAAATCTCTCGAGATGTAAATTACGTAGACCTGCCAAGATACCTTCTCCAGGGTGTCCGCACACTTTAAGTTCATTCATAATATAAAAATGACTCAGTGTGACTGTTGATTTGTTAAACTTTACATATCACAAAGTGAATTATTTGTGGTTCTTTGGTTAATAAAATGGTGATTTTTTTTTCTGAGTTATTGAACAAGCAAGCATTACCCAGGTGATCTGACAATGACTTTTTGTGTGTGGGCCACAAATACTGATTTTTCCCATTAACGAATTTTTTTTGTTTTTTAGAAATTAGTCTGTTTCACACTACAGTTTGTGTAACATGTGTTCGCATTATCTATGTTGCTGTTACTTTTGTGCTTTTATTCTTTTTAGATTTTATTAAAATACAACAACAACAATCAAGCCCCTGTAATTTGCACTTTCTCCCAATCCTTAAATCTCTTGTATGGCAACCAAAATTACTGTAAAAAAAAAATAAATATACTATTGCACTAAGGTTGTGGTTCTGATTGCAAACAGTGAACACTGTCTGAATTAAACAAAGGAAAAGTTGCCAAACTTGAAGTCTAATGTAGGTTGTTGGAACATCATGGCCACTTTACCTCAAGAAAACTGACCTGATGCTATCTTCCATCAAAGAGGAAACATTCTCCTTTCATTGAGCTAATCCGCCTTGGCTCCATTTCCTTGAAGCATGCTCAAAGTACAGACGGAAACACGTATATTATCTCAGAACTGGGGCAATGTCAGCACGGACGTCTGTGCACGTGGCTGTGAGGGCAGCTGAGGCCTGGCTTTCCTGCGGTTTGGGATGGAAGCAGGGCTGGCCTGGAGCGTGAGCCCGACTCGGAGGCTGGGTCTCCCCCACACCCACCCCTGGCTGTCTTCTTGCTGTCAGGCCACGGGGACTGCAGAGCTGGGCAGCCCCCCTGGCTGACTAACGCTAACGTGTTTGGTGAGCAAGCACGCACTAAGGCTCGGGGCAAGAGAATTTGTGTCTTTTGGCGAAGAACTGAGCCGGGAAGACAGGGGCTATCCCTTCCGCTGGAGGGAAGCACATTTTAAACAAACAGTGAACCTCTTCGGCCTCATCAGTAAAAACTTGTCTTTAGTTTCTGGACAGTTTCTTCTATTTTGGCACTTTCTCCATTTGAACAGCAGCCACTGTGTTTCAGTGTCCATGAAAATTCTAACTCTCGCGTCTTTTGCAGTTTACCGTCCCTTAACCCGCCCGCCTCACCATCCAGTGGCTCCTCCCAGGCCTCTTCTTCTAGATAAATGTATCCATTTGTCTTAAGGGGAAAAAAAATTATTGGGAGACTTTTTCTTTTCCTTGTACTTCATTTGAGGCATTTTAATAACCGGTGAACCAGAATGTCTTTCTGTATTTGTAGATACCCATGTGCACACGCCAGTAGGTGAAAACGCCCCAGTGGTTGGGTGACCACAGCAGCTGCATGCATACGGGACTGCCCGCGCTTTGTGGGGAATCGGGTAATTTCCAAACTTGTTTCTCAGACTTCAGCAGATCTGGTCATTTCAATTTTTTATCCATGCTGTATCAGTGATTTTGTTTCTTGATTGTTCCTGTAACATATTTCTACATTTCACAGTCTTTACCGTTTTATGTTTAAAATTATAACAATCACTGTTCACCGCTTCTACTCTGGAACTCTTTGTTTATAGCAATTCTGAAACTTTAATATGAGCCTTCAAATAAATACAGAAACTAAAAAAAAAAGGAAAAAAATAAAGTGTGTGCCTTGGGTGTTTTGAACCTGATCTGCATAAAACCATATTGTATTCAAATGCTGTATATTTCATGAAAGGATAAATATACCTTCAATGTATTAATGTAGCTGATACAATAGTTATAGTGCCTTGTTTTCTGAACTGAGAAGCCCATATCAATGCACAACATGAAGTAAAAAACAATTCGAGAAATGAAATGTTGAGAAGACCTGGACGTGATTCTGGAGCCTTTCTCATCATAAGACTGTGGAATATACACAGTCATTTAAGTTAAAAATAAAAAGAAAGTTGAAATAAGATTGTGTTATCAATTAATTTTCCATAAAAAGTGCTCTCTACTATATCACTTTCAGTATTTTCCTTTAGTTAAAATACACAATGTATTCGAGAATTTCCATGGAAAGAGCGAGGACGTTCTGGCCGAGAGCCCTGAGCTGTCACACCCACTTCCCCTTGTGCTGTGTCGCCCCCCGGTGGTGCTTGTCGGTCATGCTTATCAAAGTCAGCAGGATGGATATTTTCACATTTTGCTAAAAACAAACAAAATGTTTGCTTTCAGTGATGGAGACCACTGATCACACAAGAACTGTTTCCCTTGTCCCTGTAAGTTAAGGGAGCGGCAATACACAGTCTTTTTCTTTGAGAAGAAGAATGATTGGAAGAGGCACATCGGGCTAATCCTTGTCTTGACGCGTCACGCTCTGTTTCCCGAGCCTTAAGTGTGAAGCGTCCTGCGCAGCCTCTGGCGGCCCAGATGAGTCTGGAGCGCCGTAAGCGTGTGAGGACACGCCGCGCCGCCTGCGGACTAGCCCAGTCGCAGCCATCACGAGTCTGTGGGCAGCTCAGCCCCATCAGAGCAGCGCAGGCCCACCTCCCCGGGACCTCGCAGGCGGGCGGCTGGCACTGCCAGAGGCAGAGCAGATACCACGGGCCGTGTCCGCCGGCATGTCTCTGGGCTCTTCTGCCAAACACAGGTCTCAAGGGAGCAAGGGGCCACGCCTCCTGGGCCTGTTACCCCACAAGACGGTCATCCGTGCTGCTGTTTACCAGGCCAAAGTCAACTGGATAGCCAGACTTCCTCACTTCAGGCAGCAGGTGTAGCTGAGCATCTGAGAAGCTCAAGGGAGTGTGGTTGGGCAGAGATGGCCGGGGTTTCCTAGGGGGCCCCATTCAATCGCTGCGGCCTCTGCTGGATACATGTACATGTCCAACAGTCAAAGGGGGAGCCAGAGCACTGACCGCAGCCACTGGGCAAGCCAGACACGCAGCCGAGCCCCGGCCTCGTGTGAGATGGGGCTCAGGGGAACCCTGGCTGGTCTTCAGTGCAGCCAGGGCAGCAGGACTGAGAGTGCAGACCGCTGGTCACTCTCCTGCACCTGGTGGCCAGCAACCTCTCCTGGTGCTGCTAGACGCCAAGCCATCCTGCCACTGCCCACTCGTGGTCTTCCTTGCCGAGGGACTCAGGCAGACTCAACTGTGTTCTTCAAACCCCGGAACCCAGAGGGCAGGAGGAGAACAGAGCCCTTGAGGCACCAGGCATGTGGCCCCAGCACAAGGCAGAGTCACGTTATTTCTGTGCGTGGTCCCAAGATGTAGTACAGGCTGGAGATAAGAGGAAATCTCTGCGCCAGGCGCCAGTCAGGGCCCTGCACGCACTGAGCGCCCCACAGCCCCGGGAGTCGGCCATGAACAGCCCCATTGTGCAGACGAGGAAACGGAGTCTGGCCAAGATCCACAGCAAGTGTGGAACAGGATGTGCTGTGCTGGGCCCAGGGCTCCCGTGGCTGAGTCCATTGGTAGGAAAGAGAACCCCTGTCAGGTGCCCCCTGAACCACGGCTGGTGTCCGGATCTACCACTAACGACAGGGACACATCCCTCCCTCCTCCTCCCTCCAAGTCATCTGTGCAGGGCCAAAGGGTCCAGGAGGCCGGGCAAGGCGGGGGCTCCTCCCAGCTGAACCACCTCGGGGTGTGAAAAAGGGAGACTGACTTCAGAGGCCACGTGGTGACCTCTCTTCTCTGGGCTAGGATCAGGGGAGCAGGAGCTAAGGATCCCAGATTTTCACAGAGCAAAGCCCCCCATCTTTGTACAAGGCCCCAGGGCTGCGAAATGTTTGACATGTGGCATCTGCCTTAATTCTCACGCGAATCCAGGAGGTAAGTATCAAAAAGGTGCCTGCCTACTGATGACGAGACTGAGGCTCAGAAAACCAGATGCCGTGTCCCATGGTCCACGCGCAGCTGGAACAAGTCAACCTGAGGACTGAGTCCTCACCCCGGGAACAGAGCCGCCCAAGGCCCCACCCTTCCCTGGCCCTCCCGTTCGACTCTCCCCCACGGCCCTGCGCCCCCCCAAGAACCGTCCCAACACGTTCCTCTGTGGCCAGAGTCGGCCAGCCCGTTTCTTGGGCTCACAACCACAGATTCCCGGCTGACATGGCTCCTGACCCCAACCCCTCCAGCTTCCTTCTGCCAGTCAGAGTTGAGGCAGCCCCTTCCTCTCTCTTTACTATCAGAGGAGAAAGGTCGAGGGGATGACAGGTGAGATAAGGAGTCGCGTGGCTGCAGAAGGAGTTTGAAAACGAGTCTAACAGGCCCACACGGCTTCATAAAGCTTTCCATGAAGCCAAGGGCATGGAGCCTCCCTCGGCCTTGGAGCCTGCCATCAGGACAAGCCAAAAATCAAGGCTCCGTTTTCAAGTGGGAGTTTATAAATGTGACTACAAGGCCCCGATGAAGACCTCGAGGCCAGGGGAACCCACGCGGCCTGAAACCTTTAGCATCCGCAGGTCCGCCAGGGAAGCCCAGCCCCGCGTCTCGCACTCAGGCACCAGTGAGCAGCTCCCTCTGGCAGCAGCCAGGAGCACTAAGGGGAGAGTGTGAGGGCTCTTGATGGTGGGAGGGAAGGAGACCATAAAAAGAGAGAGCTGGAGACAGCAGGAAGCACGGGCCGCTGGGTCTTCGCAGCAGCAGCACAGAGACGGCCACGCGGATCCCAGCTCTGCCATGGAGTCCCCGTAGGTACCCCCTCGGCCTGAGCCATCTGCCCGCCCACCTCTCCGAGCTTTTCCACCTTGCTCCAGCTACCTTCCAACCTTAGGGTCTCCTCCGTCCCCGCCCCTCCTGGAACCTGGAATGTTCTTCCTCCTGTCTGCCTGGCTTCCTGGACCACCCCAATCACATGCCCCCGTCGCCCCATTTTCTTTTTTCATGGCACTTGTTACTCCCTCGAGCTGGCTTATTAATTTGCTTATTAATTATCCCCCCTACACACACACACCTCTGGAAGATAAGCCCCACGGGACAGGAGCTCTGCCTCCTCTCTGCACTGCTGTTTCCTGGGCACAGGCAGTGCCGACAGGGGCAGCCCCTCCTTCTTCCAGAGGCCCAGGGCACGGGGGTGCCCTCGCAGCCCACCCCTGCTGCAAGCTCCAGGTGGTCTGCAGAGACCTGCCAAGAAGAGGGCCTCCATGGACTTCCCCCGCACTGCCTGCCCCTGGACCGGCCCTCCTTGCCCCGAGCCTGGAAAGTGACTGGGCATCCTCCCTTTGTCCCATCCGTTTAGTGGCAGCTCTTGCCCCAACCATCTGGGGCCCCTGCTCCCCATGACACCAGGCACCTCGTCTGTCTGGAGCTACGCACCCCAAGGCCCGGCGCCGTGGACGCTGCTGGAGCAGGGATCCGAGCCCTGCCCGGGTGGAGGGGTTGCGGCGGGTCCCCGGGGGCCTGCCGCGGGCTGGGCAG